CCCCCAAAACCCCAAAACCCCAAAACCCCAAATTTTATTACTAGTTTCACTTTTTATTAAATTTTAGTTTATTTACGGAATGGAGAGCAAGACTTCGCAGAAGAAGAGAAGTAATCGCCGCATTGACTTTACAAGTAAGTATTTAGCTGATTATCATAGTGCCGGACGAGGAGTTTTTGAGAAGACATCATGCTGACGAAAGTCAGTGGCAGAAGTACAATTTCAATGAAAGGGCTAAAGATAACACTTCAGGTAATTACTTTGACACTAGTTGTCTTTTATTTGCATAAACCGCTAATATTTACTTTTAATTATAGTCTGGACCAATAGCCAATTGAACCAGTTTTCAATGCATCCTGAGGAAGGGCTGCAGGAAAAACTGGACTATTTCATCACTCCTTACAACACTAGCCTGATCTACAAGAAATTCATGGAGTTCGATGAGGAAGAGAAACATAGAAAGATGATTAGAGTTGCAAAAAGAAACGTCTCAGAAGAATGGCAGCTAATTTGTACGGATCCTTCATAACCTCTAGCTGACTTTATTCTAAATCTTCGTCCAGATGTGTTCAAATAAAAGTTGTGAAAGCATCAACAAGGGTTTGTTCTTAGAGCTCAAGCAGAGCCTGTACCACATGCTTATTCTGAAGAACAAGAAAAGGAAAAGTTTAAAGGGCTTGAGTGCCTCTAGGAGAAAACCAATCACCAATATGGGGTTTAGCACCAATGTATCCGTTTCTATGATATTTTAGACCGACTTGGAACTCCTCAAACACAGAACTGCACAAAGATCTGGGAATTTTAAGAAGAGTCTGAACAAACTTCCTTTTGGATTGGAAAAATCGGGAGATGATGTCTCAAAAAGGGTTAAGGAAAGCCAAGACTTGAAGAACATGCTGTCAATAATGAACAACAGCAATCGGAAGAATAAAAGAGCTCATAAGAAGAACAGGTCTCTGATTGCTGAAATGCTGGCTAAACATTCTTCTAAGTTGATCAAATAAGAATGGAAGATCTAAATCTATGGTAAAGGGATACATTCAGAGTAGTATCGATAAGAGTGAGGAAAGTCCAAAAAGATTCCAAAACAACCCGAATCTTGCACAGACTTTTGATTATAGGAACGATTCTACTGAAAATATGGGGCCTGGCTTCATGAGCTCTTCACTTGGTATTCAAAAGTACAGGCTTAAATCCCTCAAACTGCAGTCACTAGGGTTAGCTGAGAAGTATAAGAAGGATAACCTTGAAAATCCAAAGACCGGTATATTTTATTCTTAATTATCCAGATTTATCATCAGAGAAAGAGAAAACAATGAAATCAGTTATGGAGGAATCATTTTCTCTAAAACCAATGAATACTTTCGTCGCTCCAAAGGCTAAGAGTTTCCTATCCAGCAGAGGAGACTCTCCTTGTGGGAGTAGAAACTTTCCTGATCCATCTCCCATTATTAAGAAGGTAATCATAAAGCCTAGAGCTGTGTCTAAGAACTATGAGACAACTACTTATTGGAATGGAAAAGCCAGCAACCTCTCTCCAATTAAGAAGTACTGTCCTAGGAAAGGAGTTTATTCTGAGAAGAAAATAAAGAGAAAGAAGATGAATAGGACATTTACCAGGATATCTTACAAGAAAAACAACCTTGATGCACAAATACAGTCATTTATTTAGTGAGAAATTTGGCTTTCAATTTCTGGGTATGATCTAGGGGTTTTGGGGTTTTGGGGTTTTGGGGTTTTGGGG